ATGCTTTTAGTATGGGGTATATTTGCTAGCTGGGTTTTAACAGTATATTTGTTATTGATATATTGCAATAATGGTTGCGCCCTATCCGAGTCTCTATGTCCTCAAGTATTATTACAATGGTTTCGTCTTTTGCTGATGCAATGTAAGTACGACTTTTTCGGTACACTGAATTACCTTACCAGAGGCGGTAGCACGACATTTTGCACGAGGGGCGAGATCTGAAATCTAGACCCGCTGAAACGCGATTTCCTGCATTTTGACGGGGAAATTTTGCGGACACAAAGAGTTTCAGCTTGATTTGGGGGGGAGCGACGCCCCCAACATTGTTTTCGAGGGGCGACCACCCCCTCTGCCCCACCCCGGTGCGGCCGCCACTGCTTACGTGAACACACCACATACAGTAGAAGGGTCGGTGTAATCTCGGGACAAGACTTGAAGATGTCGAACATCGCTCAATGTAATAGTAGGACGATTAAAATCACCACCAATGGTAAGCTGTTTAACTTTTATTTGTATGGTATTCCCTCGCACATTGTACTGATTGACTTTTTGGTAATGTATGGTTATGATATCGCTGTGTGTGTGTGCCTCATTCGAAAAGATGGACACAGGCGAATATTTCCGGTATTATGTAAATAGTTGAATTTATTCAGTTATGTACTGAGATCAGAGCTGACAGAACACATATAATGCACGAGTAAGCAAATACAGCTTAATTTTAAACTAAATGCGCTCAATTTCAACACAGTGTTTATAATGTATTTTCTCCTTAACAAAATAAACAGTAATTCCCACCATAATTAAATTATTATGTCATACATAATTCATTTCATCGCCAAACGTGATCCAATCCGATCACATATTTCAGTCATGTGGTATATCAAGTTAGGTCACGTAATTTCAACTGACACTCAGACCAAAGTTACTTTGGCTTGACTGCTTGGTCAACGCATTGAGTCAAATATTTCTCATTATGGCTTCATGTGTATGTCGTATTCACAATACAAATTCTGGGTTATATCTACACTCAACACCTGTATCCGTAATGATCTTTCATCATTCACAATAATACAAAAGTATGTATTGTATGTTACTGGATACACAGTTGAAAATATGGAAAATGACCCTTTGTAGCATATGCAAGCGACACTGACGCACTCGGTGACGCCGAATTGACGCCGGTTCATCGTTCCGAGACATCTTGATTTTGTGTAGGACCGGGAGTTCGGAAACTAACAGGTCTTTTCGACCGATACTACCCCATGCAATAGACCCACACTTGTTATAGTGACAACCGACATAGATAGTCAAATTAAGAAAATAAATCACAATTCTAACACCTTTTATAGTGCTATAAATCGGGGGATAAATGCAAACCGTAAAGTTGCTATTCAGCTTCGTTATGCATACGACGTGATCCATTTCCCGTGATCCAACGAGAATGACAGATAGATCGCCCATTGATGACGCTGTCCTTAATATGCTAAATGTCAATAACATTGACAGACACCAGTACTTTCAGAATAACCCAATTAAAAAATGGAATGCCCGATTGAAATGAAATAGTGCTTATATATGTTAATAAACAACAACCAAATCGATGTAAATGTATTTCTGGGATTGCAATTCGCTTCCGTGTATTAGTATTATGGAGCATACAACACGACGGAAACATGCTCTATCAGTGTCATGTCGTAGATTTACAAGTATTTCATCAAAAACGCAGAACAATTAAACACAATTCAACATGTCAGCAATAATCAGCGTTTTAAATGTGCCAAGCAAAACTCTTTAACTCTAAAAGAACTTACCAATTAAAATTCAAACATAATAAAAAAAAAATAATGATACTGGTTTTTTGTATTCCCTCAATAAAATATGTCAAAAAGTAAATAAGTTGGAAGCCCCAATACAGAAATCTTATTCCCAACTGATTCGGAAAATAATTTGTAAACATAATTACTGAATAGCCATGAAAAGTTGACACAATGTTAGGAAGAACACCGCAAGTTTTTATATTGTCTGGTTGTGGTGGAATGCTTTTTCAGTATCGATTTGTGTGATAAAAAATAGAACCAGCTCTGGAGCTTGGGAAATTCATTGGTCTTTCTGACTCGGTGCTCAAGGTTATTTTGGTTATTTTCCAACCCTAGATGCACTCACCACACTGTCCATTTATTCTTTCTCAAACCAATGTATGTATATTTAGTTTTTGCCTGTGTCTGTACTGCTCCACTATGGCATTAACTCGGCTGCGTCTAGCCCATTATTGTGCTCATTCCATTTCTTTACCCAGTAAAATAATGGTTGCGTCCTCAGAGTAGCCATGTGAGTAAAATGGTTTCGTCATTTTCTGGTGCAAGTACGACTTTCTCGGTACGTTGACCTCAGGCTGTCTCAAGGTAAGGTACTACATATGAGGGTCGCTTTAATCAACTGAAGACTTGAGTATGTCGGGCATCGCTCAGTGTAATAGTAGAACGATTCAAATCGCCATCAGTGGTAAGCTGTTTAACTAGTAATTATATAGTATTCCCTACCACTTTTTGCCATAATGAAATGTTAACGTCCATTAGTAATTCATCCTACTATTAATAAAACATGCGCAAATAGTCAAAACAGCTGAATTTGACTAAACATTGCTAAAATATTGAAATGGTTGGTCAATATTGATATGACTGCGTAATTTTATCTCCCTGTTAAGACCACTCAAAGATAATGTTATCTACCATGTACTTGGGACAACATTGGTATAATATTATCTCTGAATTTAAAAATCTGAGGGTTAACCCTGCAACTTCAAAAAGGATGTAATTAATCCGAATTCACCCCTTTTATACACAGACCCCCCCCCAGCCCACACAAGGTCTTTTT